CGCACCTGGAAACAAGCACGACACTGCAGGCAGGCAAGTGTGTGTTTTATTTGAATAGAACATCCGTCTGTTCAAATAGAACAAACGTGCGTACTATTGGAATAGAACATATGTGCGTACCATTTGGATTTCAGGGGGCAACTTCAAGAAATCGACTTTTCAGGGAAAGTTGAATAGTACATACATGCGTTTCATTCGGGGGAAGACTGTAGGGGTGAGGTCCCACTAGCAAAGAGGATTGGATTAAGCACCTCAATCTCTATGTATTTCTTTTGCAGAGATCCAGAACGGCAGATCAATCCCAATTTTCTGCACCTGTCCACAAACACTTCCAGATTAAGACATTCAATCCAATCCGTTTTCATACTGGGACCTCACCCCAGTACGTCTCCCAATATGAAAAACAATCGCGCCTGCGCTGTTTCATTTTGTTTGGCACGCGGCGGCAGCAATCTTGGTTGGGGAAAAGAACCTCGGAGGTATTTGTGGTTTAAAATGAGAACAAAGGTTTGGCGCGCAGCTGCAATCTGGGTTGGGGAAAAGAACCTCGGAGGTACTTGTAGTTTAAAATGAAAAAGGTTTGGCGTGCAGCAGCGATCTGAATTGGGGAACGAAGCTCGGAGGTACTTGTGGTTTAAACTTTAAAATAAAAAAAGGTTTGGCACGCGGCAGCAATCCAGGTTCGGGAAAAGAACCTCCGAGGCACTTAAGGTTTAAAATGAAAAAAATGACAAAACAAAACAGGAGGGAAAAAGTCACGACACCACAGATACGCCTGTTGGCAATGAAGGCAAAAGGTCAAGTGGCCTCTTTGCTGCTTCCAAGCCCAGTGACGACACTACCCTCTTCACCCGAATACGGCTTACGGCCAAGCTGTATTTGGGGTATATTTCAGCCTAAATACAGCAATAATGACTGCACATTGCATTCGGCTGAAGAAGGTACAACTGACGATTCTGCCGGTCAGAAGCCCTATGAGGGCTGGGACATGCCACATGCACAACTGCCGGTCGGGAAGGATAATCCCAACCACAATTTCAACGGCAACATAATTGCAGATAACAGCCATCAGCTGCCAGGCAAGCATAAGTTATTAGCATAGTAAAATAACACCTGCTAATACTGGAAGTGACAATAAAAGCAGAAAAGCTGTAGCTTGGACCCGGTTTCCAGTAGGTTCAGCTCCCCACCAATAGAGTGGAGCAGCCAGCATCAGCCCTACTTGAGGGAGGTGCTCATATCACTTACATTAGTAGGCCGCGCCTGGTTATACCAAAAAGAAAAAGAAAAAAAAAGCACAGACCAAACAAACAGAGGTAATCTATGCATGGCCATTCCTGCGCCACACATGTTAAAAATAGTCGTGATGAAATTGATAGCACCTAATACTTAGGAAACACCCAATAAATGAAGACCAAAAATAGCTAACCACAAAAAAAAAAAGACATTACCTGGGGTCATACTCACTGGCAGAGCAGAATGCTACAGACTGGCACGAGAGGCCAGTCAGGGGTTGTGTCGCAGAGAGCAATCTTGGGGTACCCAGGTGCCAGCAATTTTATTTTATTTTATTATTTTATTATTTTTTTGGGCAGTGGGGCAATTTTACGCCCACTGGGATGTGCCTCAATCTGACCTTATCCTTGAATTTAGTGATGGCTCACCAGAGGGGTGTCTATGGGGTGCAAACGGGGTGCAAAGGGACTGAAAGGGGCCTCTTTCTTCTTTGAGAATGTCATCGCCTTCAACACCACGAAATCAGATTTGGACAAGAACTTGGAGAGGATCATAAATGTGGCGGCTAGATCAAGGAAGATGCTGAGAATGCCAGGCTACAACTACTTGAGAACCAAGGCCCTGCAAGCGGAGTACAAAGTCGTGGATGCTGATTTGGAGAAGATAAGTGAGGTGTAGGATGTCACAAGCCTCAGGTTGATGATGGACGGCACGACGACTACCAGCAACAGGCCATTCTTCAACTTCATTGCAGCCAGGGAATCAGACGCTGTCATGGCGAAGAGTGTAGACATGGAGGGGAAGGACAAGTCGGCTCCAGCTTTGGCAAGGATGTGGGAGGAGTTCATCAAGCAGTTGGGGGTGCATAGAGCGAATGCCATATGCACTGACTCAACACAGCGACACAGGTTAACATTTCCGCAAGGAAAAAACTGGTTGAGCACAAGGACATTCCATAGGTGCCCTGCACATGCCATGTGTACAACTTGCTGATGTGTGACATCGCTTCGGTGCCATGGATTGGGGAGGTCATTCTGCAAGGTAGTGAGATCACTACATTTATCAAGAGACATCAAAAGGCTTTGGCGATGTTCAGAAGGGCCTGGAGGGAGTACAAAATGCAGTTGAACATTACCGATGGCAGGCCGTTGGAGTTGATCCATCCAGGGGAGACGAGATTCAGCATGAACTTTCTCATGCTGCAGAGACTTCGGGAGGTGGAAGCAGTGTTGTTGTTGACCGGTTCCAATGCGCAATGGGATGACTCTCGATGGGACAGGACTGCAGCGACGCGGGCGCAGGCCTGCAAGGAGCGCATACAAGACCCGCCTTGGTGGCTAACTGTTGAGCAGGTATGCACTTTGCTTGAGCCTGGTTATGCCCTGATGAAGGACATGGGCAGAGATGAGAGGATGGGGATGCAGGTCCAGACTTCGGGAGGTGGAAGCAGTATTGTTGTTGACCGGTTCCAATGCCCAATGGGACGACTCTCCATGGAACAGGACTGCAGCGACACGGGCGCGGGCCTGCAAGCAGCTCATACAAGACCCGCCTTGGTGGCGAACTGTTGAGCAGGCATGCACCTTGCTTGAGCCTGTTTATGCCCTGATGAAGGACATGGACAGAGAGGGGATGCAGGTGTGGGCTCTGGGGATCACACTGGAGAAGAGGATGGTCGTTTTGCCAATGGATTGCGAGGAGAGGGTGTCAGTGAGGCAAAAGGTGAAAGACCGTGTGCAGATGATAGCTCTCCCAGTGCATGCAGCAGCATGGATGTTGCACCCGCTCCATAGATCGCCTCGACTATTCAGAGACCTTTAGTATGAGGAGATTCAAAACATCCTGACCCACTTTGCTCCGGTTTACGGGAAGGGTTTAGAGAAGTAGAAAGAGTGTTGGAAGTCTCTGATGAGTTTCCACCACATCGATCTAGAGTGGACTACGCTGAACTCAAAGGATGCTTGGACGGACACTCGTGTCTCTGTGGCGCAATGGTGATTGGTGTATGGAAAGAAGCACCCAATGCTGAAGAAGATCATAGTCAAAGTGCTCAGCATGTGGACCACCACCTCTCCATGCAAGAGGAATCGGTCCACCTTTGACCTCATCCACACGAAGAGGAGGAATCTGTTGAGGCCACAAAACCTGCAGATGCTTGTCTTCATCCACTGGAACAAGAAGTTGTTGTGGATGTCGATGGAGAAGATTGGCTTCGTTAACACCCAGCGGCTCCAGTGGGAGACATCGGAGGGTGTGGCACCATTCAATGGTTTCATGCGAAACGGGGAGTACAATCCAGGAGGAGGTGAAGGGGAGGGCTGCAAATTGGTCCAAATCTTGCGGCCGCAGATCGAAGGCAACCAAATTTGACGTCCGACAACTTCGGGAGGAGAGGGTGGACGACAGGACTTGGCTACTTGATCTTTCGTACCGCCCTCGTCGTCTCGGGGATGATGACCGCGGGAAGACTGTTGCGGGACAGCACCTGAGGGATCGTCGGACATTGGTGAGGACAAAGCTGCGGTGGACGCTGGCACAGTTGTCGGTGCGGACAGGGACGACCCGCTTGCTGGTGCTGCGGTGGAGGCAAAAACGGTTGTTGGTGTACGTAGGGATGATCCGGTTGTTGCCAGTGTCGTAAATGACGATGGAGTTGTCAGTGTGGACAGGGACGACCCGGTTCTCAGTGTGGAGGCCACTTAGAATGCGAAAGGTGACGAGGAGACTGGTGATGGAGCCACACGAAGCGATGATGTATTCTCCACTGCACGTCTTGGGTTGCGATTGGGGGAGGGATTCACCTCCCTATTGCACCACGTCTCCCCCATTGCCCCGCACGGCTCCACCCAGGACTTTAGTAAGAACCTGGCTTCCATGCCCCCATTGTGGACTAACGACGGGGAGCACACTCCTGATTGGGCCAGATTCACTGAACCAACCCCACCCACTCTCCGATTGAGCGAAGACATCCCACAGGTCGCTGGGGAGGCCTCACATGGCCAGGTTTACAGGAGGAGGACCCCCGCTGTTAAGGGTGGATGAACTGTCCATCCACAAGACAGCTGCACGACGTACAAAAGTGTCACCGCCCGAGATTGAAGAGCGCAAGGTGCGCCAAGTGAAGAGTTTGGCGGGCAAAAAGAAAGGAGGGAAGAACCCAAGGAGGCAGCGGCACCAAAGACTAGAGGTGGAAGAGGCAAGGGACGCAAGGCTGTCACACCGTCGGAGACTTTGCAAGACAAGCATGCTGTTGTTGAAAAAGCAAAGTAGAAGGCGACGAAAAAAGTGCAAAGGAAAGCCGTTGCACGTGCGCATTCGCCGAAATGTCCTCTGAAGAAGAAGATGAATGGTGTGCAAGACGACAACGACGATGAATCGAGCAGCAGCAGCGCTTGATCTTCCCCTTCTTGCTCTCCGTTGCCATCAACATCTTCATCAACGCATACGACCAGCAGCAGCGAATGATAGTGTGCTGACAAGAGAGAGAGAGAGAGAGAGAGAGAGAGAGAGAGAGAGAGAGAGAGAGAGAGAGAGAGAGAGAGAGAGAGAGAGAGAGAGAGANGAGAGAGAGAGAGAGAGAGAGAGAGAGAGAGAGAGAGAGAGAGAGAGATTCTTCTTCTTCTTCCTAATCTTCGTTCTCCTAAGTCTCTGGGGCAGGCTCAAATCTTGGCTCAGTTTTTCGAACGTCGAGGACAACCAGACTGTAATGAAGTAATGTTTTTCTGCAAGTGCATTATTGCACATTATTGCACATTATTGCACTGTAAACGGAGGCCAGTACTCCCTCCGCAAACAACACTGGGACCACCACCCAACTTAGGTACAGGGACAGAGTACAGATCTAGGAACAAAGTATAGCCAATCATGGGCTGCTGTCCTGGAACCTCAATCCCTACCTCACACTTCCTCTTTTCTTTTCTTCTCTTTTCATTGCTTTTTCTTTGTTTTTTTACCCCACACTTCTTATCTCTGTGATAGACTATTTCATAGGAATCTATTTGTTTAAAAAATGTGGACCATTATGCGTACCATCCTTGCACAAGGGCCATGCTAATCTTCTCTGTATCATTCTGAAAAGCCCTAATGACAGCAGCCTTTGAGAGAAGGCTGAATTTCCGATCCCACCGGGGCCCCCTTCCCCCACCGGAACCGGGCCGGTGGTACCGGCTGGTGGAGAGCACCAGTTCCCCGCCGGTTGCAAATTGCGCAATTCACTGGCGGGGGGGGTTCAATTTTTTTTGGGGCCGAGAGGCCTCCATGCAGGTTGTGGAGGCCTCCCGGCCCAAAAAAAAATCAACCGGGTCCCGTGGGCCCACCAGATTATTGAAAAACTGGCGGCATATTTGGGTCGTCGATCTGGTGAAATCAGTGGCCTAGATAGGCCGCCCGTTTTTTAACATTCGGTCGGGAAACCACCCGAAGTTCTTGGCGGCGATCCAAACCTTCCCCAGGCACAGCCCCCACCACCCCGCCTCCCGCCTCCAGCTGCTTCCGAGCAGCAGGACCCGTCACTTCGACACTTCGTCGAAAGTGAACGAGGTCGAGACTGCGTCACCCCCCCACGTCCGCCCCGGCCTCAGAAGGTAAGTCTTCCTTTGTTGTTCTCTGTTTCTTCTTCTTCGTACTATCTTCTTCTTCTTCTTCTTCTTCTTCTTTTGGCAAAGCCGAAGTCGAAAGTAGAGAGAGAGAGAGAGAGAGAGAGAGAGAGAGAGAGAGAGAGAGAGAGCAAAGTAGTGGGGCGCGCGGAGGGTAGCCGGCGCGTGGGTGATGATATGGACAGTGGATGATGATGATGATGGAGGATGACATCATCATGATGGTGACGACGATGACGACAACGACGGCGAAGGATGACATCATGATGATGGTGACGACAATGACGACGACGACGACGACGAAGGATGACATCATGATGATGGTGACGACGATGACGACGACGACAAAGGATGACATCATGATGATGGTGACGACGATGACAACGACGACGAAGGATGACATCGTGATGATGGTGACGACGATAACGACGACGGCGATGGCGACGACGACAACGGCGATGATGATGATGATGATGATGAGAACGACGACAAGGACGACGACGAGGACGACGACGAGGACGACGACGAGGACGACGACGAGGACGACGATGATGATGATGATGATGATGATGATGATGACGATGACGATGATGATGATGATGATGATAACGATGACGATGATGACGATGATGATGATGATGACGATGAGGAGGAGGAGGAGGAGGAGGAGGACACCCCTACAATGCAGCCCACCCTCAACCCATGAATTTCCACCCCTCCACCCCCCCACCAACCCCATGAAAAAAAAAAATGCATATCAATATTTCTCTGCGGATTTGGGGAGATCTCGACAAGCGCAGTATATATATCGTCAAATAGAACTGCCCGGTAAACCGTAGGCAGAGAGGGAGATATATATATATATATATCGTCACAAACAGAACTGCCCGGTAAACCGTCGGCAGAGAGAGAGAAGAGGACAACAAACGAGGGGCTGTGACAAAAAATATATATATATATATATATATATATATCGTCAAATAGAACTGCCCGGTAAACCGTAGGCAGAGAGGGAGAAGAGGACAACAAACGAGGGGCTGTGTATATATATATATCTGTTTGTGACGATATATATATATATATAGAGAGAGAGAGAGAGAGAAAGAGAGAGAAAGGAGTAATCGGTTGGCAAGGAATGGCCAAAGCATCCTCGTTCACCTTGATGGCATGTAATTGTTGTCGTTACTGTTTTTTCTTATGTTTTCTTTATCCGGAAAAAGACTTCAATTTCCCACTCGCTCTTGTTCAACTTTCTGATTTTTTCAAGGAAATGAATTCATTTTGAAACTTTTAAATTGAGAGAACGAATTTCAAAATTTCAATTCTGGGCCCCCACCCACCATGAAGGAGGATGACATACAGTTTTTCTTCTTTGCAATCACCCGCTCATGAACCTTTCATCATCAAAGGAACCAAACTAGATTTTTTTTAAACACAAGGAATGCATGAGTGGGAGCAGTAGCTGGTAGGGGCTACGGTAGTTATTCAAAGTTTCAATCTGGCGCCCTTGGGTGAAGAGGTCCTGAAGCCGCTGAGCTACGATTAACCAGATTCTTCTGGTTCTTTGAAGTTTGAACATATTTGAGTGTATGGGACACAGGACCCACTTTCCAGCACGTGCAGCTGCCCACAAATAGAATGGAGTCCTCGGACTAATGCTACCTTCTATCTCTAGGGCCCCTTATCCCCTGAAGGCAGAAGGTGGCCCCGATCATGATTACAGGGGGGAGGGGGAGGGGAATCAATTTAGTGAATAGAAATTGTTCTCGATGATGGCCATCGGATGATCATGCATGGGACAGAGTCGACAGCCTGTAAAGGGGGGGCGGCGGGGGGGGGGGGGGGGGG